AGTTTTTTCTCTGCCCCCCCCCCCCCCCCCCTACATTTTAAATAAAAAAAACAAGTTCTCTCGAGAATACTTGAGATCTCACAAATTCGGGTCCGACATTTTTTTCATCTTTTTATCTCAATATTTATTCTTATCCATTCAAACCAAGAAATTTCATTAACTTTCACTTCTCTCCATTCAAGACAGACATATTAATATATCACATTTAGTAAGTTTCTCATCAATTCTTACTTTTTCTGCTTTTGATGTTTGCAATTCCTTAAATGATTCTAGTTAAAATTCATTAGGTTACATCTAGTAGAAACTACTTAAGTTATATTAGGTTACATCTTTCGCTTGAATCATTTTGCATCGGGGTTGTAAGGTGATCGTTAGGTTTCTCATTGATAAAAGAAAATCTAGAATTCAAAATTCGTTTTCACCCCTATAAAAATCCTGATTTTCGAAATCCAAACCCTAACAAGGATAACAAAAAACATACTTGTATGCTTGTTATTCTCTTTGACATTTTGTTTGTGTTTGATAATGATATGTATTGTCTTACGTTATTATAGAAAAATGGTTGATGAACAACCAATGTACAAACATGGTCGTTTGACTCAACATGCTTTAGTACGTATGAAGATAGCCAAATCATTATGAGTTGTTGGAGAATCATCTCAGACTGTAGAGATATATTATTCTCGTGGTCATATATCTTCATCTCACGACGAAGCACCCTTTACTTCCTTTCGTGTTCTTGATGTTGGTATACATGTGCATGACCCACTGCTTATAATCAGGCCTACTACTATTGCAATTGGTTGTTTTCTTGGAGGTCAAGATGAAATGTCACTACTTCCACTTTATACACACCATATTGTTAGGTATATGTGGAAAGGAAAGGTAGCACACATGTCCAATTACTCTTTAAACACATGTTTCATACAAATTGTATTGTTTGATGTTGATGTTTTTTTTTTGTAGTACCGTGACACATAAAAGTTTATAAGTTATGCTAGGAAGATAGAAAAGTTTCCTCATCCAGATGAACTTTTGTTTAAGAACATATTCAAGTTATTAAAGTATGAAGGAAGTATTAGGGCAGGATATGGTTATATTGTCTATGGTCTTTTGTCATCATTTATTGAGAGATGGAACACAAAGACATCATCATTTTATCTTTCCATTGGTAATATGAGCATCACCCTTGATGATGTATTGTGTCTCCTCCATCTTCTGATCACAAGAAGATTTTTGGACCATTGTACCATTCATAGATATTAGGCACTCGGCCTAATGGTGACAATATTAAGAGTTGATGCAAGTGATGGCAAAAAGGAGATAAAAGACACCATAGGGTGTCATTCCAGATTAATGACATACTTACATGGCCAATTAAATGCACCAATAAATCTTACAGATGATGATGCACATGTTGCCTACCACAAAAAATGTGCGCTAAAGACATACGTTCTAATTTTGGTTGGCACAAGCATTTTCATGGACAAAAGTATGAGCTATGTCGATGTTGTCTACCTCAAGTACTTCATGGACTTGGAACAAATTCACTAGTACAATCGAGGGCAGTTTATTTAGTTTACATGTACTCCAAGTTAGTTGAAAGTAGTAAATGAAATATGACAAAGATGATTGAATGCAACTGTCTATTTCAAGTAATCGATTTACATGTCCTCTATTAACTTCATACTATTTGTTCTACATTTGTATTGATATTTTCATCTGAACCATTTTCAAGAATGGATCCTTCAACATTATTCATGTATTGTCAGCTAGGAATATGTTTCTGACTACACTAAAGAGTTTCCACGTGCATGCTTGATTAACCTACTCAGGGGGGACTTCGGGAACTGAGCCATAAAGACTTGATCTTGATCGTATTTTGACAGATGATATTTGTTTTAAATTGCAGAGGGCACTATTTGACATGGCCTATGGAGGTGATATGGTGGTACTCTGGATGCTTATGGGTCTCGACATATGTACCCACATCTATATGAGTGAATATTGCGGCAGTTTGGGTATCTGCAAGGTATACCTAGGGACCTCACAATTGTTGCTTTTGCCATTTCCTCCGTAGAGATGTTGGTGAAATATTTGTTGACTACCAATGAGCATCTGATGTTAGAGGATATACGTAGTGTTCCACCTTCTTGTGCGTGGATTATGATATATAGATACATTAATTAGTTTTATAGTGTCACATCCTTATATGATAATAGTATTAGAAAGAGATCCTCATAGACTAGCTCATCAGGAGGTACTAAAAGATGAATGGGCAATGACAAATCATGATATGGATATATTTCTTATATGTCACCATATTGTTGCATGTGAAAGAGATGCCATAAATAGAAGATAATTCCAAGAAGGCACTCCTTATGGGATCACTTTGAATACAATATTATTATAGACACGATTTGCACTGCAATATAGGAAGCAGAGGAGGAACAAGTATACTCAATAGTTGTATTTTAATTTAAATATTTTGAATGATTATGTTATGAATTATGTATGGTTTATACAAATGATTGATGTATGAAAAAAAATTGTTAGAAATGACATTTGTTTTATGAATGACTTATGATTTATATTATCCAAAATTCTCATATTAACTTATACAATATTCTCCTAGAGGTGCATTCAGATATTGAAATATGAGTTCATCCATTATCAAATGCACCAGAAAATAGGCTAAAGATACTGTCTCACAGGGTGTATCTAGAGATTGAAATTCATATTCACACTTTTGTTATCAAATGTATTTGGAAGTGTGTCAAAGATAGTGTCTCGGGAGATGCATCCGAAGATTGAAATTCAAATTCACTTCTTTATTATTAAATATACGAAGAAAAGAAATGTGTCAAACATATTATCTAAAAGGTGTATTCAAATATTAAAATCCAGATTCATCTATTTGTTTTTACATGCCAACAATAGTGTCTCAGGATATTGAAATCTAAATTTACTTATGTTTTTACATGTCAACAATAGTGTCTCAATAGTGTACTTGGATATTGGAATCTAAATTTACTCTATGTCTATATACATATTATACATCCAATATAATTTTAAATTGTTGTATTTTAGTGTGTCCAAATTTCAATATGGAAACTATTACATTTAAAGTAAGGGAATTGTTCAACACAACACAACTCAAACTTTATGGAAAACAAAATTACTCTTTTGCATTGCTTAGGGTTGTTGATTGTTTTTCTAGATTTGAGAATAAAAAATCCAAAAATTCAGAGCTTCAAAAACCCAAAAAAAATAATTTTAAATTTATATGCTAAAAATATAATTATCAGTTTTTTTTTAAAACACATCGGCTTTTATTTAACAACTAGAAGAGATGATAATTACAATAGCAGTATTGTGCATGTTTTAGAAAATAAAATTGAAAAAGAAAATAAAGCTAAGCATTGAATGACATAAAAGATCTACCGACAAAATAATTTTGTCTATTTTTTATAAGGTGGACTATTTTTAACATTCCACCTCATATTACATGTAACATCTCTATTATTGACACAGAGATAAGAAAATGTTCCAAAATATATTAGATTTTAAAAAAAAAAATTATGCGAATTCGGAAATTTCATGAAAATATTGAAAATTTTATTCAATTTTCAAATTTTTACTGTACCATATGAATTTAAATTAGAAATTTTAAATCTCTACTACCGAAATATTAAAAAGTGAAAATTTGAATTTATCGATGTGTGTTAAAAATTAGATATTTTAAATTTTCGATAATTTTTAATACTGTTTTTGTTTTATTTATTTGGCTTTTACTTGAATAAAATACGCTGTGAAATAGTTGAAATTTTCGATACTTTGAAAATTTTGAAATTTCCGACTAAAGTTTTTTATCAGAAATTTGCATAATTTTCAATACCTTAGTTATTTTTTGAAAATTGACACGGAAATTATTTTCCGATGAAATACAATTTAAATTTTAAAATTTCTGGTTAATTGCAACTACAAAATTACAAGCGTAACGGAAATTTCGATTATTATATCATTTAACCAATGGTATTTTTTTTATAAAAGTAACAAAATTAAGAGTAAATAGTATAAAAAATATTTTATGAATATTGAAAATTGAGGGTGGCAATGTATAAAAAAGAGGTAGCAGGTTAATTTCTCTACATGGTAAGCAAGCACACACTACTCAACTAATGATTGAAATAAGAGGATTTCTTATTTAGGGAAAAAATATTTCCTTTCTGATTCGTACTGTTAAATTTAAGATTCCCCTACAACAATTTTTCCGTTAACAGCCAATCTTTTATAAAACACAGAATTCATTTTATATTTAACACAAAATACTTTTTATATATCTAAACTGCACCACATGTTTGGGATTAATTTAAAGCATAGAATTTATCAGATATTTTTAATTTATTTATTTCTCTATTTTTGTTGTCCAAATCTATTTGCTTCGGTTATTTTTTTTTCAATGAAAAATTTGTGGATAGGTGTTCCATGGGGCCGACAATGATGTTCTCTGACTACAGAGGGACTTTCACATATATGTTGTTAATCTATTTGATACTTCAAGGTTCTATTCACGTGGTATCATGTTGACTTACTATGCTCCGATGCCATTTACATAGTACCATGCAAAATTTCTGGGAAGATTGACTGTTACCGGAAATACATTTTCCAGAATATTATGGAAGTGTATTTCCGGAAAAAAAAAATTAGTGTGATATAGGGGTATATCTCAAAAACTACTGAATTGTGTGCTCCGGCGCTCCAGAAATACATTTCCGGTTTTAAAGGGTATTTGAATTTCCTGCGGTGCCTAAGAAAACTATAGGGTGCATTAATAAATTCTCATAAAGAAATTCTCATAAATAACCGTGGCGCTTCACAAAAATAAACTACTAAATATCATTCATTTAGGGTGAATTGCACAACATAGCAAAATTTTACTTGGGTTCAACTACAACCCCTTCCTGGAACCTAACCAAGTTCTGTGGATTCCAACTTGGTCAGTTTCCAGACCATCCATTGTCGCCAGCTTTCTTTGATCCAGTTCCCCAGCCAGAGTTTCCCTGTTCAGCATCGCTTAGAGCAGCACCCCGGCCACTTTTGTCACCACCACTAGCTCCACCTCCCCAGCCACTTTTGTCACCAGCACTGGCTCCACCTCCCCAGCCACTTTTGTCACCAGCACTGGCTCCACCTCCCCAGCCACTTTTGTCACCATCACTGGCTCCACCTCCCCAGCCACTTTTGTCACCAGCACTAGCTCCACCTCCCCAACCACCAGGAAATGCTTCTCTTCCAGGGGAATTTTGAACCTTAGCCCCTGGGAAGTTGCTTAAACTGTCATCCCCGTCTTTCACGGCAGATCCCCATCTGGTTGCACCCGCACGCCTTTCATTGTTAGAGTTGGGTCCTCTACTACTATTTTTATAAGAACCACGACCACGCCCTCGTCCACCACCATATGGACGAGGCAATCCACTAGGGTGTTCATCTCGATTCCCATTATTTCTGTAATCAGGTCGTCCTGTAAAAATAAAGAAACAAGAGCAGAGTGAAAGTTTTGAATAAAAAGGACTGGAAAAATGACAAGTGAAAGCAATTAGTTGAATGATATGTGAACTGCAGACAGAGAATATGTAGACGTAGAACGAACAAAATGCACAGAAGAAACCAATCAACATGTGGATAAAGAGAGGATTCATGGTAACTAATCATATTTAATGTCAAAGCAGGCGCAATACTAGCAGCAGAAGAAATCTCATATACCTGTTCTGGAACCAGGAGTAGAAGATCGGTCCCTATCATACGAGTGACCTCCTCTCCAACCACCCTCGCTGTTCGAACCACCCCAGCCACTACCCACAGATGCCCCTGATGAGCCACCAGCAGCAGGGCTTCGCATTGGCACCATTGCAGCTACTGATCTAATGGAAGGTGCGGAATCATTTTGTGGATCATCGATGTGCCTTTGAAAATATGCCACAAGCCGGTCAATATCCTCAAACATCTTTTTGCGGAACCTGAATCCTTTGGGGTAAAGACCAATATACTCATGGTGCGGATTTGTACTTCTTATGTAAGTCAATACAAATGTGCCAGGATGTTCATGACAGATGCCAAAACTATAAACTATGCGCATTGGATTCTCTTCCTTTTCAGCCTTCAAAAGTTCGTCAACTTCTGTTTTCAAACCCGTCCTGAACTTGCGATAGTTTAACATTGTTCTTAAATGAGTAACCAAGGGATCAACATAACGGTCCATAACCTAAGCAATAATGAATAGGAAAGAGTAAGTCATAGTGTCACAAGAAAGGTGTTCAGAAAGCCAGGTGGAGTACCTTACCTCATCTAAATCCTCAAAAGTATCCTCTCCAATTTTAAGAGTCTTTCCGATTCGAAGCAAGCTTGTGATGTCCTTGAGTTCCTTCCCACCTTCAATTATCTCCTTGTGGGCATATACTCCATCATGAATTTTAAGAGTCAAAGTAAGGTATGAAGGACCCTTACTATTAGGACGAAAAATACTTTCACCAGGATCCTTGTCTGACAAGAACTGCATAAAGACAGGCCAAGTTAAGCATGCATATAACCAATCATTATACACAAATTCAATTTGTCCATTTTTCCTTGTAACTAGTACATGCCACTTAGAAGATAGTGTTTTAGAGATAAAATCTCAGTATTGTGTAAATGTTTTCACTAAATTTTGTTATTTTTATCATCTTATTTATTAATATATTAATAGTAGTTCTCACATCAAGAACATACACCAACTTTAGGAACTAGAACTACAAATGATTTATTTGAATCTATGGCATGTAATTACAAAGATTCAACATAAGAAAATTTGTTATTTCAGTAAATATTGCAGCTCACTCTTCGATAAAAGCAAAAGATAAGTGAGAATAATAGAAGCAAGAGGAAATACTCTTTTCATGCTTATTGGGTAAAAATGTTCTAGGTTCCTAACCAAATATGTACTAAGTCAGACTAATTGAAAAGAGCATGTCAAAATATGTATTGCTAAGGGAAAACAATTATTAAGAAACCATTAGAGGACCCTTGTTGCCGTTTCATGGTCAGATATACCTAGGGAAATAATGGCATACATTTTTGCCAAAATTCAGTATAGAAAAAAAACTTTTTAATTTATAGATCCAAAGTCCAAACCAATATTTTACCAAACTTACCAATATGTCGTAAGTATCCAAAGAATCATACATACAAAGAAAAAAGAATCAATCCAATTAAATCATACATACAAAGAAAAAAGAATCAATCTGATTAAGCCAGAGTCAACTATCAGGCAAAAAACTTTTTGTAGCCATAGATTCAGTGCTATTTTGTCCAACAGATTGATATGTGTATTCGCAGAATTAAGAAAAAATCACAACATCGGAAAATATTAAGATTCTAGAAAATGGTCAATACAACATGAAGTAACTAAAAAGCAAACCTCGTATGCTTCATCGGTAGTTATGTTTTGAAATCTAGGATGAACAATCATCCTAGGCTTGAAATGCTTCTTTGAACGCTCCCTTTCTTTCCGAATTTTGTCTTGCTCATTTGGCAAGGAACTCCGGTCTTCGTGATAATAGGGATCAAAGTTGTGGTTGTGATGTGACCGATCACTTCTCATTTCACTTTCTTTACAAACAAGGAAGACTTGATACCTATTTTTTTGGATTGACTTGATTTTACAAGTGAGCATGTCACCTTCATGTAGCCTATCAGATAATTCAATTATATCTCTCAAGTCATCTGCATAGTCTTCTTTCATAAGGATTCCGGTCATTCCAGATTCTAGCCCACAGATTGCTCTTTGGGCTTGAACTCGGCGAACGGTAACCTGGACCATTTTACCTTCAGCAAGAGTCTCTTCAGTCTCGCCTGAAATCATATAGAACTCCTCATCCTGACTTGGTTCCTCATATTGCTTACGCCAATCCTGAAACCCTTGAATCAATTCTCTTTTTATATCATAAAGAGTTTCAATTTTGTCTTCAAGATTGTTATCTTTAGCATATTGCTCAACATTCAGATTTTTCAAATAACTAGGTCGATCTCTCACATGTTCTATGGCCATCTCTAAGGCATCATCGTCATCATTTGCATCACCCGTTCCGTCTTCATCATAGACATCTTTGGCCAACTCTTGTGCAAGAATATATGATTCTGGATGAATTCGTGTATCATCCAGCAAATCAATAAATTGGCTGCTGCTAGCAGCCAATCCACTTCGCCGGACACGCAAGAAACCAACCGCATTGACAAACACCTTTTTACCAAGTTCATGTTGGGTCACAAAATCCTTCCTGGTATAAATTGAGCCGGCTCTAACTAGCGATCTCTGCAAGGATGCAGCCTTCCGCGGACCAAGCCCCGAAGTAAACTGTAACGGAGCAAATAACCATTCATGACTTATTGCTAAATTAATGTCTAAGCCCACCTGATTGGTCACATCTATCATAACCTGCTCAACTATCCCAATTTTATCATCCGGGTTGAGAAAACTCTCCCAAGGGGTCAGTTTCCATGACAATATTTCCTTTCGGGGCCCACATAATGTTGCAACCATTGCCAATGGGTTCTGGAGAAATCGACCAAGAGCAACAGCCCGCCTGACTATACCTGTCAAAGCAACAAAAGTAGGATTAGTTATAGGATGCATTACATGATGAGTAGCATACATCTAACACAATATTTACCTAGCTGCTGCGAAGGAAGTTGTTCAGAGGAAATTTGGGAATTTTCGTAAAGACGGGGTAGAGATTCATCTCCATACACAATGCTGAGCCCGTCCATTTCATGCCCAACATCTCTAGGGTTTTCCTCAACCATCTTAAAAATAACCTGATATAAGAAAGTAGAAACCAACAGATGAGACCCACAATACAACAGTAGCAGAAGTCTTTTTCAACCGGAGAAGGGCGGGGAGCAAAAATTAATCATAATTCTGACTGAGGACACAATGACCATGCCATTTTATACAGCTTAACAGTAACCATCACATGTTACCCAGCAAAAAATTTACATGTACTGATTGTCCTCGTCAAATAAATTTATACCAACTCTTACTAACACAAAAAATCATTTTAAAATTCAACATTAAAGTATATATTGTCATGTATAATGTTTCCGATGTTGAAACAGAGTGCTTAGGAGTATTCAGGTTTGTTAAGTAGACCAAACTACTTAGTAAAAGATAGATTGGAGGTGTCAGAATGGAATGGGGATGAAATTGGGAATAGGAATATGACAGACAACTGATCAATATCTTTTCCATGTTCAGTAAGGTGATTGAAATTAAAATGGAAATAAGCAGTCATTATATTGTATGTATAGGAATTGTAGCACAAAATTTACCAATATATAAATGTAAACATAGAAACCAAGATATAACCTCATAAATATCTTCTTTCAAACGTGTGCAAGACAAGTTAGCTGCTCCTAAAACAACAACATGTGGTTGGTGATCTGTCATAAACTTCAACACGCGTTCCTGGTCGTTCTTCTTCCTTTGTTGGTCATGGACATTCTGTGACCTTAAAGTGAGTGACCCAGTGTATAGCACATCTTGCACTTCTCCCGATGAATCTAACATAACAAAAGTTGTTTGTGGCTTTCCAGGGCCCCAAGAGCAGGCCATAACCCTAGGAGCAGCCTCATCATCCGAGCTAAGATCATTCTCCTTTTGTTGATAAGGCCCTACAGAAACCTTACTCCACAAGGCCTTCCCATACTCCATAAGTACCCAGTGCTTTGCTTTGTTTGCTAAGACACCTCTTGCTTCTTTTTCCATTGATGGTAAAAGAAATCGAAAAATTACATCCTGCAGTATCAGCTTTCTCTGTTCATTCCACAGTTGAGCAGATCTGCTGACACTATCACTGATATAATACTCATTGAATTCGTCTATTAACTTATTAAGATGTTCTTCAGGAAGCTTAATAGTAACTTGAATGAGTTTGTCTTCTTCTGCCTTCTGTATAAGGAGCCATTGGGCATCCTCAAATTTGCTCAAAGGCTTCTCTCGCAGCCACTTCACCCCAGAAAACTGATGGAACGAATCTATCGTTGTATTTCCATCGGGAGTTGGGGAGGTTGACACCACGGCGTGGTCAATAAAGTAGTTACGAACATATTTCTTTATGTTGGGCTCACAACTTATCTCAACAGCTGCCTGGAACAAAAATAACCAAATGATCAAACAAAGGACACATTTTAATGATTATGAATAAAGTTACAGATGCATACCATGTGCCTAGCACATTTAAGAACTTCTTCAGGGGTATCATACATGGCACATGTGAAGTTAGAAGCCACCTCTTCTGGAGTTTCCTTTGGATCTACTACGAGCTCAGGCTGTAGAAGAGAGCAGACAAAACAAGACCTTAGGTTATGTTTATGGTCAAAACAAAGAGCAGTTCTAAATTCAAGCATACTTACCAGCTGAACTACAGATAGACATAACCCAATTTGCTCAGAACTAGACCCAAACCTGCTTGCAACTTCCCACAGACCCGCCTTGCTGAAAGTGCTATACATTGATTTCCGCTTTGGCCTTTTGTACTGCCCTTCATCAACACCAGCTTCACCTGGTGGAAAATGCAAGTTGAACTTGGAGTCAACATCATCAACCTCCCTCTCTGATTCTGCCTCCTTCAGTGATCTCATAACTGATTCAAACAATTGCCTATTCAAGTTTAGTCTTGTTTCATCGTATACACGACGAGACTCTTCTTCAAACCGTTTATTGTAGTATAATTGAAGGGCACTCTTCCGCTTCTGAAGACGCAACCACTTCCTGTCCAGGTCCTGTAGAGCCCAGAGTATCTAAAATTGCACAAGGAATTTGAAGAGTTATTATCATGTTATCAGTATCAGACAATATATTAACAAAATAGAAGACACAAATAAATCATAACGGACCTTGTGCCATTTTAGAGTAGGTGTCGTGTTATTCTTATCCCGATTATCATTTCCAGCTTCAGGTCGCTCTAGGTCTTTCAATAAGCTAAAACACTCCTCCTTCCGATACATGGCAATAAAAGGAATCTAAAAGACAAAATTCCAAATTAGGAAAACAAGGTTGATGTAAACTACATATGCAAATCTCAAGGTGCAGGTAATACTGACATCTAATTTTTGCACATGATGCAGTTCCAAAAATCTGACAATATCATTCTTGTCAATTGGCAGATCCTCATCCTTCCCCTTACATCTGACAACATCATCCTTGTCAGTTGGTAGATCCTCATCCTTCCCCTTAAATCTGACAATATCATCCTTGTCGATTGGTAGATCCTCATCCTTCCCCTTAAAGCTGACAATATCATCCTTGTCAATTGGTAGATCCTCATCCTTCCCATTATTTTTGGAGTCTGAATCTAACTTTGGCTTTAACTTGGGAATCCAAGGGACTGCCCCACTTTTAACTTGAGCAACTATCCACTGACTCTCTTCACCTATACTATTTTCATCCAGTGAAGGAGCACCAGTACTCTCCTCTGATATCTACAAGGAAAAAAAAACTCATCTTACAAGAATGTACCTAAATTAACTACAAGTTTTTTAATCTTATTCCGCAGAAATCTTAGAAGACCTGCATTCTCTCTGGAATATCGCATTCCCTTATTCGGTCATCGTTCTCTGTCATATATTTCTCAGAGAGAACAATAGGTTCAAATTCATCTTCAAGCCTAGTCTCTTTGTGATCGGGTCCTCGACTACGACTGCGAGCCAAAAGCAACTCATCGACATCACCAAATAGTTCTTGAGCTTCTTGTAAAGCTGAGGACGAGACTCCAGGTGCCTGCCTAGGCCTTCTGACACCCTTTGGCTTCTTAGTCCTATATAGAATTGCAGTAACAGAACATTAAATCAAATATTAATATTCTAATTGATATAAAATAAAGCATGCAATAAAAATACCTCACAGGGGCTCCATTCTCATCAACTTCTTCTTCATCCACAATGAAGTCGGCCATTTCATCTTCTTCCCCGATGTCAGCATCCTCCTCCTCTTCTCCTTGCTCCTCCTCTTCGGCAATGTCTTCAAGATGAGTTCCTGACAGCATACCCAACAATGCATTTCAAAATAAATTTAATACTAATTTTGTTCAGGTAATTTTACACTAAAAAATTGTGCTGCACAATTCAAATCTCATCCCTTAACTTAGTCGTTTTCTGGTGAACAATTCCAATACCATAACTTATTCTTCCAGAGTGATAGAGATACATATAATGCATTCATCTCAGAAGTAAATTTCACCGACTATCAAATGATGTCAATAGAAACTCAAAGACATTAACCACAACTAGGATACCTTCATCATCGCCAAATAAACTGCGCTTAAGCTTCTCCTCAGCAGTTCGCCCAACCTTACCACTTCCATAAAACTCTTCTTCGTCAGATTGTCCAGATTGCCCCTCCTCATCCCTCTGGCCCTTTTTTAATCGCTTGAATTTTTTGCTTTCCTGATAAATTTAAGAACATTATTACTAAGCAAAGTATTAGAAACCTAATAGGCCAACATTAAATAAAAAAATGAAAATATATACGAGAGTTGAAAAACCTTCCGACGATGAATATTGATATTGTTGTCCTCCAACAATTCATAATCATCTTCATCAAGGACATACTCCTCCCTAAAATAGCAAGAATAAATTCAAAAGAAAATTAAAATGATAATGGTAGCATCCTGTATGAGTTACAATTTTAAACTAAAGATACATATCAAAATACACATCCAATTTTCTTCAATCACATGCCCATCTGTCCTCAGAGGGACAGGGAGAATAAGAACAAGGGCATACCCTAGACCATGTGCATTTCCACCAACATGCATGACATGTATTTATAAATAGTAGGACAAAGATTTAGTTAAGATAAAAAACACCACAAAAGTTTTAGAAGAAAAGAAATTGTTAGCTACATGATGCAAGAGAGATTACCAAATATGCATTCCCTAGACTAATTATCTAGATAAATTAAAAAAACTATCTACATATTATCTAACATTGTTCTTTGTTATCTGAACGTATGTTTATTAACATCAAACACAAGTAAATACAGAAAGAACACATAAGGGGTAGAGAACCAACTTTTTCTTCCTCTTTTTCTTCTTCTGCCGCTCTTCGTCACTGTCTGCTCTTTCTTCTTCATCCTGCTCCTCTTCTTCCTCAATTTCATCAACTATAAAACCATCCTTTTCATACTCATCTTGTCCTTCTGAAGTAAGGGGAAAAGAAAAAATATATACAAGCAGAATAAGATAGTATCAAATAAACCCCATGTAGAGATAATTCCATGCACATGACTAGCTCCACAGCCCACACAATAAGACACCATATAGAATAGAACTCATATAACAGCCAAAAAAAAAACAAAATGAAATATATTAGGCGGCTGAAACAGGAAAAGAAAAGCTAAAGGATGCAACTCTTAACCAACTACCACATTGTATCATTGTAGTGTAATACAGATCAAACAGTAAAACTCCACCATCACCATTTGAACTAACTAAAACATAACTCAAATATAAGCATCACAATTTCCATATGAAACTACCGAATAGAAACATGAAGATTATCGACCTCAGTTCATCTGAGTATTTCCGCAACACGGACACAACTGAGTAATACTATTCCAAATTTGTTTTTGTTTCTAAACTTACATCATCAATCTAACAAAAACAACTTTCCAGCACTTAACATAAGCCGTGTTTCATAACAATATGAAACAATGCCACTTGAGAAAACCATAATTCCCCTAATTTGAAAGTCCCAGTATTCTAAAAAAACCAGCCAGTGAGAACAACAAAAAGCAAGAAAAGAACCCAATGCGAAAATACATAAATTCAGAACAATCAAAGTGCATACCCTCTTCTTCCTCGTCATCCTCATCCATATCTCCTCCTCCTTCTTCCAATTCTTCACCATCAGCGGGCTCTCTCTCATCCATCCCAAGCTCAACTTCATCTGAACCCATTGAATAACAACCAAAAAAATTAGGGTTCCGATTAGAACCAATAAGCATTTAGAAGAGGAAAACATTATACTAAGAATGAAATAGAGGATTTCTAGGGTTCACCTTCGTCGTCAGATATCACGCCTTTGGCCATAATTGGTGAGTGAGTGCTGCAAAAGTGGGTGAATGACTAAGAAATCGATCAAATCGAACGAGTTTTGGAGAAGAGAATGAGAATCCAAGTTCTGGAGTAAGGAACAATTGGAAAAAGGATTCACCAAACAGTTTTCGAGTTTCCGAATTAACAACTGAAAAAATTTATCTATCAACACGGTGTTCTATATTTTTATTAATGTTTTTTTCCTTTTTTTACGGTAATATATTCTATAAGCCCAATAAGGTTATATCACGTGGCCCAATAAGTTACATCAGGGTAAAATTAAACTTTTTTTTATAAAATAAAACAAAACATTATATGTTTAAGAAAAACAAAACATTATATGTTTAAGAAAAATAAAACAAAACATTCAATGAGTGTTTTCTAGACATAAAAAATGTTATAAAACAAGATTTGAATGGGCCAGTTTAATCAAGAAAATAGGAAGGATAACTAATCTGAATTGACTATTGAATCTATCATTTAAATAAATTGATGAGAAATTAAATTTAAAAGATATAGTCAATTTTTTGCAATTTAAATTAAACTCAAATGTAAATTTATAAATTTTATCTTTTGAAAACAACAATAACGGTTGGTCATTAACAATTTTTTTATTAATTAACTTTTATTATAACAATAAGAATTGGGGTAGTTGTTAGAAAACGAAACAAAATATTCTCATAGTCAGAGTTGTATAAGAGTAAAATAATATTGATTTGAAACAAACAACAAAACTAATAAAAGAACACTTGTTCTCTCTAAAAAAACTTCCACCGACTCAGTTACATGCAAATAAATGTATTTTTTATAATTTTAATATGTTAATTAAAATAAAGAAACACAACTTTTATAACTAATAAAAATAAAAGTAAATGGATATAAATGTAAGAAAAGTTTTCTTGTTCATTATTCGTACATTTTCTCAAAATGTTTTATAACTTTTCTTTCTATTTATTATTTATTTTCTTTTTGTTTCTCTTTATTCATCTCTTCTTATTGTTGACCAACAATGTCTTACTGGCAGACAAATTACAATTAGTTTTCACACCTCAATTATATAATAATCTTTATTGATTTGTTATTCTAGCAAGTCAATTGAACTAATCATATAACAAGTTGTACTTTTTATTTCTAACAAAGTTTGCATCGACATAATCTTGTATTTTTTATTTCTCCTTTGTCAAACTGCAAATATTTCTTGATGGTGCCTCGTAGATACCTCAAATTTCACTAACTATTTTAAAGTGAGCTTTACATATATTTGACATAAACTTGCTAAAAACTCTCGATTCATGGCCAATTCTGGCCTTGTAAATACCATTATGTACATATATTTTCAATGGCTAAAGCATATAGAATTTTAACCATGGATTTTTTTCCTCCATTTCATTGTAGGTGACTGGTCTTTGGATATGCAAAAATAACTTTCTAAATGTATGTTAATTGGTTTGATATTGTCCATGTCAGATCATTTCAAAACACAATGTATTTTGTTTGAGATAATTGAAAAACTCATCTTAGTTTATCTCTTGCAATTTGCATGCCAATAATCTTTTTTGCATGACCTAAGTCATTTATGTCAAACTTCTTTGAAATCTACATCTTCAAATTTTTGATCTCGTCCATATCTGACCATGCTACCAGCATATCATTGACATAAAGTAATTAAATGATATAAATAGACTTATATATCTTTAAGAAACTATAATGGTCAGCATCACACTTCTTGAAATATTTCTTGCACGTGAAGATTTCTAGCTTAATATAATGTTGTCTTGGAGCTTATTTCAGGCGATACAAGCCCTTATTTAGCCTTCATATCATCTTCTTTGTCACTTCTTATGAGAATTCTTATGGTCGGTGCATGCATATCTGCTCGACTAATTTTTCATGAAGAAATGCAACCTTCGCATCCAAATGCTCAAGATAAAAATCTTCACTAACAATAATACTTAACACATACCTGATAGTACTATGTTTCACAACCGGAGCAAAAATTATAGTGTAGTTAATTCCTTCATTTTGCTGGAATTATTTTACCATTACTCGGTATCTTCATCGCTTATAACCATTATAGTCCTCCTTCACTCGATACACCCATTTGTTATAAAGTACTTATTTCCCATGTGTAACTTATTTGGTTCTTGTCTTTGATTGGAAATTAAAGATTATGTATCCTCTTTTGTAGAAAGCTCCCACTTACTAGCGTCTTTAGTATGAAATTTGTATGCATGATACTCAGGATTGCCTCCATCAGTAAACAACATGAAGTTCGTGTATCTCCTTTAGAAACATGAGATCAAGAAGACCTTCTCAATATTGGAGTAGGAGTAATATGTTCTGATATGTTATATGGTTCTTTGATACTTGATTCAATTGATTCCTCTAAATAGGACTTTCAGCAATGGGACTTTCATGGACATCAACCACCTTTACATACACAATATTGCTCAATTCTGGGCCACTGGTGATTGTGTTATGCTTGTCTTTGTACATTACTCTTTCATTGAAGATTACATCTCAACCGCTGATCATCTTTTTATTTTCATCATCTCAAAGTCGACAACAAAACACATCCTCACCATAATTGATGAAACTACACTTCTTTGAAGTAGGATCAAGTTTATTTATGACTTTATCACTAATGTGCACATATGTTACACATCGAGAAACTCTAAAATGTGAATGTTTTGCCTTTTTTTATGCTTTATATCTCTTACGGTATTTTGAGCTCCAATGGTACCTATGCCCCTCAAAATACTTCGTACATTTTCCTTCTATTTACTATTTCATTTCTTCTATTTTTACTTGTTTCTCTCTTCTCATTATTGACCAACAATCTCCCACCTTCACACCTCGGTGATACAACAACCTGCATTGGTTTATTATTCTAGCAGGCCAACTGAAATAATTATGTAGCCAATTGTACTTTTTTTGTGATTAATGTGACCAATAAAGTTTGCATCAACGTAGATTTGCGTTTTTATCTCTCTTTTGCCAAAGTTAGAACATTTCTTGGTGGTGCCTCGTAGATACCTCTAAATCCACTTAACTACTTCTAAATGAGCTTTACCTAGATTCGACATAAGGTTGCTAAGAACTCCCAATACATGGCTAATGTATACCTTTTAAAGACCATTGTGTATACCAGACTTCAAATGGCTAAAGCATGTGGAATTTTAACCATGGATTTTCCTCTGTTATGAGTGACTAGTCATTATAGGAGAGAAATGACTTTCTAAATTTATGCTAACTGGTTTGGCATTGCCCATGTTAAATATTTTCAAAACATGGTCAATGTATTTTGCTTGATATAATTGAAACACTCTTATTTGTTTATCTATGATGCTTTGCATACAAATGATCCTTTTTCTATGACCTAAGTCATTCACATCAAACTCATTTGTAATTTTCATCTTCAAATTTCTGATATCGTCCATATTTGACCTTTTTATCAACATATCTTTCACATAAAGTAAGAAAATGGTATAACTGGACTTATATTTCTTGAAGAAACAATAGTGGTCGGCATTTCACCTCTTGAAACATTTTTGCACGTGAAGATTCCAAACTTAGTATATTATTGTCTTGGGGAATGTTTCAAACTATAAAAGTTCTTCTTTAGCCTATGCATCATATTCTTTTTCACTTATTATAAGAATCCTTATGGTTGGTTGTTGAAGCAATAAAGCGGAAAGCAAAAAGTAAAGTATTATTTTTACCGGGTGATATTTAGGTTATATTGTATCGTGTCCATAAATATTAGTGTATTGAAATTTCATTCGACAAATCTCTCGTTAATGAGTTTGAAGTTTGAATGGGTTTGTTGTAAGGAAAGGTAAAAACTATTGACAAGAAAATAAATGTATAAAAAGGAAAGACAAACTTATCCAACTCGAATGTACTCTACTTGTTACAAACTTAAACATATCGACCAATTATACTCAACCTACAATATTATCAATGTTAACACATATCAACTATAACACCCATTATATCATCTTGACAGCAATCTCTCAACCACCTTAACAACACAAAAGTCAATTGTGCTAATCGCATCGACAATCTCTCAGAGCGACACAGCCAACACATAGGCATTAATCACAGACACCCTAAGTGAATGTCATCTTTAAATTTATCTCTAGAATCTAGAAACTAACAGATAATCACCCTAGATAAGAATCCAAGCAGTATATGTCTATAGCAACTATGTAATACGGTGGGAGAACTAACTTGGTTTATTTTGCGTTTTATCGCAATTGTTGCGGATAGCAAAAGTCGTCACTGACTTTTCTTTTATCCAATAAGGAAAAGGTGAAAAGAATAGGAAATACCTTTTTTAAAGATTTTGAGTTCGGGGGGTAAGTTATGAAAAGGGAAGGTGTTAGCACCCTTTTCATCTGTAGTTATCTACGAGCTCTTAATCGCTTGTTCACTTTATTTGTTTTGTGTATGTGCTTTTGAAAATGTTTTGAAATGCCAAATAGCAAGGCAGTTTGCTTTATGATAACTCTTGTATCAGTCCTCAAGCGTGTTGATAAAGCATTTTGAAAATGTTTTTGAAAGTGTGAGGTGTGAAATAGTGTTTTAAGTTGTGAGCAAGCAATTAACAGTAACTACCCACTCAAGGTCTTTCTTGTATTTTCCTCCTCTTTTATATAGTGTTATCCATACCATTAGTTAGTAAGAAGAAATATCTTTGGATGTTCGAGGGACAGGCGTATGGTCGTCGTTATGGTCATCGAAGGCAACATATAGAGATACCTTTAGCAATTTGAAGGGACTGTCATCATATATATTCGTATGCAACATTGAGGGATAAGATCATATACCGTAGGCAACTTCGAGGGACATCGAGGGACTATAATCTTTATGATGATTTGTAATTGAGGGTTTTTGCTAATGGTATTCGTACGTTCGAGGGACATGACCATTGTTTTTCGAGGCAACGAGAGAGGTTACCCTATAGGTGAAGTGTACAAAGTGTGCTTGAT